CGTGGCTTATCTTTTGCTTTTCTTGTCCTAGTAGTTTTCATAAAAATATCGTCCCCTTCTTTAATTTCTGGGACTTCCTCACCTCCTCTTTTTTCTCTAACCTTAATCTTATCTGTCTGTAATTTCTCGGCTACATATTCATAAAGAACTTTAAGACGTTTTCTATGATCTTGTAAGAGCTTTTGCATCAAATTACGTTCCCTATCTATATCGAAGACGTTACCTGAATCGGTGGTACCGAAAACAATTTCAAATGGTGTAAAGGTTGTTGCGGAATGAATACTATTATTATAAGCCATTATCGCATATGTCATCACAGAGCAGGCATCAAGATCTGTCTTATCGTACTTAGCTAATCTATATATTTCGTTAATGGTGGAGTGGAATCTTTCAACTATTGCCATGGAACTAGGGTTATTTGGTGTTCCTATGTGGAGCTCTATTTTATAAAGATTTAGAAGTTCTTTTATTAATTCGTTATTAAATTCTGTACCTGAGTCGCTATTTATTTTCTGTGGTAAACCATACATACTAAAGTATTTAATTAAGGCTCTTACAACTTCAGGGGTACTGCGATTTGGGATGTTTATCGCTTGCCCTAACTTACTGAAAGCATCAACAATTGTCAAATAATATTTACTTTCTATGAATAGTAGATCTATGAAAACTTCTTGGAACGGTGTGCTTTGACTCTGTGTTAATTGAATATGAGGTTTTATAGGTTTCCTTTCATATTTCATCTTTTTGCATTGTTGGCAAGAATTTATTATAGCTGTTATTGTTTCTTTCATATTTTGCCACCAATAATGCCGTTTTAATTTATTAAATGTTTCTTGGATCCCCCTATGACAAGTTTTACCCTCGTGATATTTTATCACTATCTCTCGTTGGTCCTGCTCGGAATCGGTTAAGTTAATAATTCTTTCGGTACATTCGATAAGTTTGCAAGCTTCTTTCTTATATAATTGAATTAATACGTTTGAAAAATTTATCCTAAAAGCTGGGTCTTCGAAATAGATGAAATATTTGTTTTTAAAGTCTACATATTCTTTCAGAAAGTCTTTAACTAATGTTTCATTATTTATTGGCATATGGACTTCTAAAATACGCTGCTTTTTGTTAGACATGTCCTTGACCGAAAATTTATCAGAAAACCACGAATAAACTTGTATTTGACGCGGTTTTGAGTCTATTGCTTCGTTTAAAATCGGAATTCCTTCGTGTTCCCTATTAGATACGGAGTTTGCTGTAACACCATCGTCTGAGATTTCCATCAATTCATGTTGTTTTTCACTTTCCGTATCTGAGATTGACACAACTGGTCCTGTCGAGGCTAAAATTTTCAATTCCAGTCAATTCCGAATTATTATACTGATTTGATTCAATACATTGTTGCGAATTGCAAGGTTGATTTATTACGCTATTGGTATAGTTTATTCTCCTTGAGTTAGCAGTTCGCATTGTTACATCGGTGTTCGAACTCGACGCCACAGGTGGCGATTGATATTGCGTTAAACGCTGAGTATGCGCAGGGGCATTGTCCGCGAAATACTGACTACGCTGTATCGGGCCCGGCGCCGGCGGTACTGGTGACCTAGTGGTCGATTGTTGTTGATAATTATTGCGATGGCTATTGTTATGATTGTTATTTTGCCTAAATTGGAATGAATTATTTGACGAGTTAAAAGAGCGATTATTATTAACGTAGGGTGAGAAATATTTTGATTATTAAATGTATTTGCACTAGATTGCTCCGTATGGGAAACATTTCTAGGTGAATAAGTGTAATTATTGTTAGGACTCGGCCTAAAGTTTGTTCGATTAGACCGTGAATTTTTACTTTCATAAACTGACTGAAAGTTTTGTTCTTCTAAGACAATTTTCAAAGCGTCTTCTAGAGTAGTCACGTTCCGTAATCTCACAAGTCTAACTAAATATGCCGGTAAATTATAAAGAAACGCATTTAGTGAACTATGGTTATAAATAGATTGTTTCGCTAGACGTAAGTTCGGATCGTCAATCGTTTCGCTAATCTTAGAAAATAAGACACTTCTCAAATGTTGTATCCTGTGACAAAATTCCTGGTAATTTTCATTACGGTTTAATTTTAAGGATTCGAGTTCCAAAGCCAAACATTCCTCGGATCTCGGGTCACCAAAATGTTGGCTTAGTAATGTTTTTAATTCGTCCCAATTATTAATATGATCCCGTTCTCCAACTAGGTTCGCAGCTTCCCCGGATAACCTACTTGTAATAACGTGGAATAAATATTCGTTTTGTAACTGGCTTCCTCGGAATAAATGGAGTATATACTCGCATTTTTTTATAAAGAGTGGTAAAAGTCTAGTATCACCATCGAAATTAGGGATAATTTTAACCATTTCCATAGGAACTCTCACTAAATTTTCCATTTTTCTTTCTTTTTGTTACAGAATACACTACCAATAAAAAATTAAAAAATACTCTTCGGTTATTATTAAGTGAATTTATAAGGAAATTAAATGAAATAATTTAAATTCCTCAATTACTTAACTAATTAGAATAATAACTAAGTGTGAATTTATCTAGTAATTAGGCGTAATTAATCCCACAAAATCAGAATATAAACACACACAAAATAGGAGAATAAGAAGGGTAGGAAAATACAGATTGGTGAAGAAGATCTACTCACAGTGCTGCAGTTTTCCCCATGCTCCTTCTGGAATATTGGTGCTCCGTCCTTGAAGTTGGTCTGTTCCTTAATAAATTTGTTTGTTCCTTTTTTCCCGATTAAAACGTTGAGACGTACGACCGATTTTTCTGCGAAAACTTTTATTCGCCACGAAATAATACTTGGTCTTACGGGTCCCTACCGACTGCGCCAATTAAGATAATGAACCCAACTTCAATAAAAAATATATTTATTTATTTTGACAGAGTTACAGTAAGAAGTTTATTACTACAATATTCGATTTTAAATGATTACAATTGTCTATTTATACTTAAGTTATATGCTACAAAACTATTTACTAAGCTTATTTACTGCATACGTTTGACCCAGATGGGATTGCTGATGATGTGCGAACGAATGAGATTTGGCAGGGGTGCTCAGCCTTAACTCGTGCGTGAGCGACAGCTCAATCGTTATGTTAATTAAATTGTTATTACTTGTGATTACGTGTTGGTATTATTCTTGTTGTTACGTTTTTTGTTTTAATAATGCTTAACGCGTACGTTTATAGTGATTGTGAATACGGCAACATATTATGTATCCGAACCTAGGTACACGAAGTATCGCTAAATAAATTGTTAAGACGTCGGGATGGAACAAGTGTGTACATACTGTGCAGTGCACAAAGTGTTGAAGCGTAACCGAATGCACCCATACAAATTGCACAAAGTGCAAGCTT